AGGAAGGAAGGAAGGAAGGAAGGAAGGAAGGAAGGAAGGAAGGAAGGAAGGAAGGAAGGAAGAGAGCAGTGAGGGCTCCTCCTCTGCTGGCTGGGGTAAAGCACAGACGAGGGACTGTGCTCATCACCACATGGGGCAAGAGTATTCATGTAAAACAGAGCAGAAAGAGAAACTGGGAAGGGATGGAAGAGAGATACTTGTTATGAACTGACAGCAAACAAACTAAAAAACAAAAAAAGATGAGCAAAAGTTATAGACAAATGTTCATTTCAAAGGAAAGCAAGAAAAAAGGAAGGAAAAACACTTGAAGGACAAAGACTGAAAGCTGACTTTGCAGATAATTCTGTTAATTTTATAGAACACTTAAAGCATGAATAATACCTCCAAGTCTGTATAACTGCCCTGGTTTTCTTAGAGAAACCCTGAGGGCTACTGCACCTATTATATCTGAAGACCTCTGGTATCTTTTGATTTCATAGTGTGAGCTACAGGGCCTGTTTTGTCTGGGCTTTTCGAAGTATCCCAGGCCTGGATAGGATGTAATTGTTTGTAACATCATGAATGTTTGATTTTTCAGCAGCTGCTGAAATGTTTTCCCAGTGGCAGGAACAATGAGATGCTCTGGTGGGGGACAGAGCTGTGGGGTTCAGGGAGGGTTTGGGTGTGCTCCTGGGGGACTGACTGAGGGCTGCTAACTCCATGTGCTGGCCAAGGTGGAGTCTTGCCAGGCTGTGGAGCAGAATTTGGAGTGTGCACAGATATTTGTGTGGTGTTAAAGGCCTCCCCCACGCTCTGCAGCCCCTGGGATGAGGAGGCTGGAGTTGGGGAGCAGCACAGCAAACCACGGCATGATGTGGCTCATCCCCTGCACCTCCTGCTCTGCTGGGGGCTGTTGAACTGGGAGCTCTCAAGGGACCATTTCAGCTCTTGCATCCACATTTCCAGCCAACCTTCTGCTGTTACATGCAGTTGCATGCAATTAAAATGAAGCACAGTGCAGTGAAATAATTGAGAAAACACGTGCAAGATTAGCAGCATTTTACTGACAGTACTTTCCATAAAGCAAATTTCTTCCCTGGGAGCAAGGGCCTGTAGGATAATATTCAGACAAAAAAGTTTTATCACGCAGAATGGGGCTAACATTTTCCTTCCCTGAGACCCAGATGATAAGTGGAGCTGCTGGGAATAACGATAAAGCTTTAATTTTCAGCAGGCATACAAGAAAGTGCCTGCTGCACAGGGTGTGTCCAGCACAGAGGTTGGATGTGTGCTCCAGGTGGTGCTGGATCTGCACTGAGGCAAAGAAACAGGCAAAAAGGGTGAAGATGTGTGCAAAGTAACTTGAAGGAAGAAAGGCTTGGAGGGTTTTATTCATGAGGTATGAAAAGGAACATGGAGGTGGAGGAGTAGGAGGGAATGTGAAGTATCCCTGGGTATGTGCACAGGAAGGAAAGAGGATTTATTTTATTTTCTATTTGTGCAAAGGCAGATGGGAGCTCGGGGAAGTTGTGTGGGACTGAGGGCACGCACAGCGTGCAGCAACAGGGTGTTGCTGGTGGACAGTCCCTGGACCCTGCAGCCAGAGCATTCCCAGGGCACAGCAGTGAAGCTGAACATGAAAATAAACACTTCAAAAATTTAAAAAAAAAAAATAAAATATATATTTGTATATTTCTGCACAGCTTTGAATCTCTAGAATGATCCCATGGTAACACTGTCTCTGGGCTTCCTATTATGTATTCAGATACAACAATTAAAATAATGTGATATAAAAAAAGAGAGTCATAATCATGAAGTTAGGGAACACCACATGCTTGAGCTGAGTGTGCCAAGTGCGTGTGGAAGGGCTGGGAGGAGGTGACCGAGGAGGGAATTGCTGGGGGTGGAATTGTGTCATGCAAGAGGAGCACAAATCAAACCCACAATGCCCATGTGAGAGAAAGAGATCCCTGTCCTCTGGGCCATTAATGTATTTTGCTATTTACTGTTTCAGAAAGGGCAGTAGTGATACTTCAACAAGTTTCCTTTATATTTCCCAGTCTAACTCAAGATACTGTTCCTTATAATTCTCCTGGGCTCTTATCTGCAATTCTGACTTCAATAATTTGTCTGTTTTTCCTCCCTGAGTGCTGATTTACCCTGAGGCACACATTGACCCCTTTCTCTTCACTGTGTCTGGGCTTTCTTTTCTCCCACAGAGAATTTTTTAGAATTCACTATCATGTCCTAATTCAAAATTAGGAAAATCATCATTGTTTTCCTCACTTCTCTTTTCCTTCCAGACTGTCTGAAAGGTAGAGTGAAAACTTGGATGTTAGCAGGGAGATAACTGCAACAACAGAATAATAAATGAGATAAACAAGGAAAAGCAATAATCATGGAAGCTCTCTAGTTCTGCCCTCGCAGGAGAGCTCCCCACTCTGCTGCTGAAGTGCTGATCAATCCAAACCTTCTGTCCCCTCAGAGCTTCCCAACCACTCTCTCCCACCACAGAGGAACTGCCCCACTGCTCTGACAAACAGAAATGCATCCTGCTTGTATTTTCTGCCCCCAAAATATCTTTATATCACTTCAGGCCATAGACTCTTGGTGAGGATTTCCTGTACTTCTCAGCTCTTCATCCTGTGGAGGTCCATCGCCCTGTGGAGCCCATCCCTGCTGGGGGAGCCCAGGATCTGTGTGTTCTTTAAAATCCATAGTTTTAAACAAAGCCTGAAGTTTGTCTCCAAAGAATAAGGGCAGGAGGTTCCTGGAGCAGCCACGGGGGCAGCTGTTGGGCAGTGCCAGAGCATCTCTGGGCCTTGGCACCCGCCAGGAGTGCGGCAGAGAGCCTGGTGGCAGGGTGGGTGGCACCGTGTGGGTGTCTCTCTGTGTTTGTGTGGATTTGCTCCAGAGGATGGGTCGTGCAAAGCAGCCAGGGATGGATTGTGGGCACGTGACCGTGGGAGATGGCAGCTCCAAAGTGGCCTGGGGGTGGCTGGAAAATGCCTCAGCAGCTGTTTGGATTATTGGGGGGTGCCTGTCGCATGTGCTGAGGAAGGATGGGTGTCACATTTGGTACACCCCCACGGTTTTACCTTTCTAGAGAGGGAAAATCAGCTTACATTGGCAGAGCAGCTTTTTGTGAATTGGGTGCATATTGCAAAGATTTTAATGAGTATAGGAGAAAGGGTGGGCACTGGGACATCACAACATTTAAGAATTACCAAACCAGGGAGGACTTTTCGCGTTTGCCTTTCACACACGCCTTTCCCAGGTGTCTCAGAGCCTTCACCCACACGTGCTGAAGCGGGTGAGAGCCTGGGTTTTCTGAAACCAGCAGGGTCCATGGAAACCTCCCCTGACCGAGTGACTGACTGCACTGACCTTTCTCTGAAGTACTTGATGGCTTCCTGGTCTAGGAAGTTCTGCTCTTCTCGAAAGCCCTGCTCAAAGATTTTGCGCTTGTGTCTGAACTCAATGACAGTCTTAGTGTAAGAGTTGAGGGTGGTGACGGAGGCCGCCATGCAGCAGGTGAAGGAGCCCCACGCCAGACTGCGGAGAGAGAAACCAGCAGACACAGCTGGGTTAACACAGCAGCTCAGGTCGTATTTCTGACACAAACACACAGGCTGGGAGCTGGCAGGGAAGGTGGAGGTGACAAACACGTTCTGCTCATCTTACCTCGAACAGCCTGAGGCTCCTGCTCAGGCAGGCAGGAGGCTGGGCTGGGATCAGCCCTCACCCCAAGGAGAACCCCGTGTGAGGTGAACACTTGGTGCTCTCTGACACCAGGGCCAAAACCCTCCCCATCTCCCTCCAAAGTGCCTCAGGCCTTGCAGACAAAGCACTAAAATCCACACACTCCTGGAAGGAGCAATGCCCCAGAGAGCCTTGGAGCAGTTTCCAGCATCCGTGGGACACTGGCTGCACAACACCACTGCAGGGATGGTTTCTAATCTGGTTTTCATGCCTTCATCAGAATACTGTATTTCCTTCTTTCCCGGGTCATGGACACCTCTGGCATTCCTGGCTTGTGGCTGGTCTCTGAAAGCCTGACCAGAACAGAAGACAACACTTCCATTTCCAGTTTCCTGACTGACTCCTGGTGGGAAGGCAGTGCCAGCCAGCCCTGGCCAGCCAGGGAGGCAGAGGGAGAAGGGCAGTGGAAGGAAGGAAAAGGCTGGCCCAGTGGCAAGCTGGAGCAGCAGTGAGTGTTGTCCTGGCTCTCCTGGCAAGCAGGGCCAGCTGGGAGCTGCTCTGCTCCCTGCCTGTGGACAGGGTTTCCCCCCAGCTTCTTTTGCTCTCCCTGACCTCAAGTTCAGATGGGGCTGGCGAGGGACTCATGGCCCCAAGGAGTTGAGATGCTTTGTGAGCATGAAATGAGGCTGGATTCCTCAATTCCTCCTTTTGTCCACAGAGCTTCTCTGCCCTCCAGCTCCCCTTGGCTTGACTCATCAACTCTGGCTGCACAAAGTTCACAGTGGCTGTCTAACTGAGCTGGATTAACTCGATCATCTGTGATGGTGACACGCTTTACCTGCTCCTTTTTGCACTTTTTCTTTAACAAATTGATCTGAATTATGCAGAGCAGAAAGAATCCAGCCCCAGTAGCATTATCTTATAAATACTCATTGTCAACACAGCCCTCAGCATGAGCTATTTTCCCATTCTGCAAAGGACCTGCGGACAAGGAAGCAGTTTCTCATTTCAAATTAGACAAAACTTGAAAAAGAGCACATATTCATGGACTGAAAAATCTGGGGGAAAAAATGGCTCAAGTAAACAGAAATGGCTCATTTCAATGATTTCAAAATTCAGCTTATAACAAGTCCTGCAGGGAGTCCTGAGGCAATGAGATGTGTGGAGGCAGCTCTTTCCCTGTCATTTTTGAGCCTGTTTGCCAGATGCAATCGAATGAGAAGGAAATGTAGTGACCCCTGGGGTGACAAAGTTCCCTGAAGTTTCCCATGGCGGGGAGGAGAAGTGGGAAGGGAGCTTGTGCTAGGTGTGAGTGTCCAGGCACAGCATCTTCCCGGCCTGGCATGAGTCTGCCTCCCACGTGGAGTGTGGGGAAGAGCTCCAGCAGCTGCAAACATTTCCAGCTGGGCTCCCAAGCAGTATCCAGGAAGAAGCCAGCCAAAACCACATGCCTCACTGTGCCTGGGGAATGATATCTGAGGGAGAATTTCTCTTGGATGTTTCTGATGGTTTCTAATCATGAAACCAGAACTGCTGAAAGGGTCAGAGGAGGAAATACAGAAAGAAGACTCTCAGTGCCTGGCATTTGGGAAATCATAGTAATTAGGTAATTAGGATAGATGTACTTTAGTTTTTATGAACCTTGGCTATATGCTATTTATTTTGAATTGTAAAGAGTGGTTGTCCTACCTTAGGAGTTACACCTGCCTTAGGTGAAGGCCTCTTTAGCAGCAGTGTTGTTACTGCTTCACTCCAGCTGTGCCCCAGATGTGCTGGGACTGTACCCACAGAGCTCTCAGGCCCCTCCATGGCTCAAACAGCTCAGGCTTTTTATTTATTTTCTTTAGGGAGTCTGAACTTGAACATCTTCTGATCCTCAGAGGCACTGAAACCCCTGCCTGGAGAGTCCCCTGGCCCACTCCTGACTCGTGCCAGAGCTCAGAACAACCTCCAGGCTTTGCCAATGGCTTGGGAATGGGGCCAGTGGCAGGCACCACCCTGAGACATGTGAGCAGACCATAAGCATCATTTTGGGGGGGGGGGGTGTTTTTATCATTCCCTTTTGATAGAAGGGAAGTAGAGTCATAGAAAATTTAGTTTTCCCACTGGCCCTTGGGAAAGGGATGGCAGTGGGGATCCCCAAGGCCCTTTGGCTCTGGGCCAGGGTTCCCTGTCCCCCCTGGCCAGGGCTGTTTCAGTTCTCTGGACTCTGCTCTGTGGCTGGGTGCAGCAGTGGCACATTTACAGCAGGCTGGAAATAAGGGTGGTGGTGGTGACAACTGCTGGGTCAGGGCTTCCCAGAGTTCATGTTCCAGGACATCACCAGAACCCAGGTGGAACAGAAAATAATTCCTACATGTGTGGTTTTCCACCAGGCTGGGTGGGAATTTGTAATTAACCCCTCCTAAAGAATGTGTTTGAGTCTGGGTGGTGCCAGGGGAGGTTGTGGTTCTCTGGTCTGTGCTACAGTGGTGGCTCAGTGTCAGCTGGAGGGCAGAAGCCTTGGTTTTGCTTCTTTTGACCTCCAGCCCTTCTTTTTCCAGGTCTGCTACCCATCACTAGCATGGCATGAGGGACCCCTTGGCCTTCCTCAGGCTGCTGAGCACCACTGCAGGCTGAAAATGCTGCTGCTGCTCAGGCCTGTCCCAGCTGAGCTGGTGTTTGCACCATGCCCCACACCCTGCATGGATGAATGTGCTGCCTTGGAAGCACCAGGGAAGGGAAAAAGGGACATTTCTAAATGCAAGAAGGAGCTTTGTGACTGCAGTGGCTGGAGGGGAGCTCAGCTGGAGGGAGGCTGTGTGGAGTGAAGCTGAGGTCTCACCCCAGGAACACAGGCAGAGGGGATCCTGCTCTGGGGGTTGGATTTCATCCCCCATGGAATGTTGTTCCCAGCTCCATCTGCCATGGGACACAGCTCCCAAACCCATCTCCTACGGGACACAACTCCCATCACTATGAGACGTCAGTTCCCAACCCAATCTCCCATGGAACAGCAGCTTCATCTCCCATGGGACATCAGCTCCCAGCTCCAGCTCCCATGGGATATCAGATCCATCTCCCATGGGACATCAGATCCATCTCCCATGGGACACAGCTCCCAGTTCCATCTCTCATGGGACACAGCTCCATCTCCCATGGGACACAGCTCCATCTCTCGTGGGACACAGCTCCATCTCTATGGACACAGCTCCCAGCAGGGAGTGTGGGTGGGATGAGTGGGCCCAGGGAGAGCTCAGGATGCCCTGAGGGACCCTGGTGCCCACCCTGAGCCATGGGCTTGGACAAGAAGAAGGAGAATAATCTAATGAGTGTTTATCATGCAAGACATTTAACAACATTTCGAAGTTTGAGTATTGCAGTAAATTACAAAATAGATTACTGAAGACAAATATGCCTTATTATTTAAATCTATTGAAAATTATACAATTACTGTGACAGAGTTGTTATAAATATTAATATAAATATTATAAATATGTGAATGCAATGTATTTATAAGTCCATCATCACATGCAATAAATATTCATTATTGAGACACCAAATAAGCTGTATTTTAAATATAATGTGATTCGTATTTTGTAACATGTTGCTAAAATAGTAGTAACTCCTCCTATGAAACAGTAGAAAGAGGTGAGAAGGAAAGACTAATAATTCCCTGCAGTGCTGTGCATAAGAAGTATTTATTTATTGGTGTTCGCAAAGATTGTTCTCTTTGCTTCGGGATGGATAGAAAATAATGTGCTATATTTAGAAATGACAAGAAGAAAGTATTTTCCCTATCCATCCAAGGAGACTGAGGTCTCTGGAGGACTGGGGATGTTGTTTGCAGGTATTTTTATTCTCCACAGCCTCCTGCTCTTGGTAAGCTTCTTATAAACTTGCAAGCAATGTAACACAGTTGCTGTGTCTTGGCCAAATTAGCTTGATGTGATTTTAGAAGATAAGCTGTAAATGCAAAAAAAAAAAAAGCCATGTCCATTTTCCCAACTCTTCTCCCCGTGATCCGCAGGGAAGTCTCATCGTGCCAGGAGCACTGCACCTTCCTCTGCAGTTGTGTTCAAAGCTGCACCGTAAGGTTCAGCTGAGACATTAATTAAAAACAAGGGGAATAAAAAAAAAAAAAAAAAAAAAGAAGAAAAAAAAAGTCTCAGAAATGCCATGGCAATTATGTTCCTAAATTGAACTTTAATGAGAGTGCTCAATCTGTGTTGGTAATTGTGGGTGCTGTTTATTTACAAGTGCTCTGTACCTGCTGATAGCACAGCCACCACAACTGTCCCCCACACCTCAAAATCTGCACGGCCCTGGGGGCCAAGTCTGGCAGCTGCAAATCCACAGGGGTGTTCCTGACAAAGGGAGGTGACATGTACAACATCCCAACAGGCTGATGGAACAGCTCCAAAGAGAAAAGAGATGAACTGGGGGTGACACTTACCAGAAGGACCATCCATAGTCCCAGGAATGTGGTCGCCAGTCCTCTGGCCCAAGGCTGACTGTCACTTGGAAAACTTGAGTGTACATCATGTGTGCCACCATCCCCAGGAGACCTGGGAAGCAGGGATTAGAACAGGAATTTTTGTGCCAAATGTATTTTATTATTCTTGAGGGAGCTACTGCTGGAAGTGCTTTGAGAGCTCCAAAAAAGTCTTTGTTGTACTTTTATGCCTCCTGTTCTGCTGTGGAGGAGGGAGCTGCATGGGCAGAGGAAAGATGTGACTGAGAGCTCATTATTTTACATCATTCTGAATTCTCAATTGAAAGAGGAGTTGAAGAAAGAAAATCGTTGAAGAAAATGATGCACAATGAGCATCCCCACCAACCCTGCTGCTGCAAAGCAGGGCTGTGCCACCCCCAGCTATCTCACAGCCCATCACAGACAGGTGAGAGGATGGGGAGAGGCTTCTGCAGGCAGTGCAGGCTCAGTGTGCTCACACCACACAACTGTATTTTGTCCCAGCAGTTGCTCAGATTTATGAATTTGAACACTTGTAGAACACTTGGAAGTTGCACCAGGAAGTGAAGTGAGCTTGGTTCTCCTGGTGTGTGGTGACAGGACACCACTGGGGCACTTTTGGTGGTGCAGGGCTGGTGATTCTCTCCTGACACTGTTAGAGCTCTCTGGGAGGAGTGCAGCTGGGTGAGGATCAGACAATGTGTTAGACTTTCAGTGACACGTTAAAGAACAAGGCTGCAGGAAATCACAGGGTGGCCTGGGTGCCTCTGCCTTTAGCTGGCCACTGTGGTCCTGCATTTTAAACACAAAAAAACCCATCTGAACTTTATATTTAAACACCCCTTTGAGGAAAACCAAAGCCCACTTTTCAAGCAGTGGTGGTCAGGAGCAGCTCCGAGGCTTGGAGAATTTTCTAGCTACACTAATTTGGGATGTTCCTGCCATGGCACCTGGGCACTGCAGAATGATGATCCCAGTGAGCCCTGGAAAGGGTTCAGACTAAGGAGATGGGGCTGGATCAATATATCCCAAATAGTTCTTGGTCCTACAGAAGTGCAAAGGCCTCTTGTGCTGCAGTGGCAAGTTCAAGGCGCTTAGAAATATCAATATTCTGCCACGGTGGGTACCATGAGGTCTGTGTGCTACACTTTGACTGCTCATTCACTGCTCTCTCTGACCATCTGACTTGTTCCATAGTTTTTCTTCCTGTACCTGGAAGATCCTGATTTCCCTCCCCCAATTACACCAAATTTTTGGCTTTTCTTTCCTTCCTACTCTCAGAACCGAAACCACTCCATTAGTCCCAGCCATGTGGATGATTCAGGGCACTTCTGGGGGAGGGAAGCTGGGGAATATTTGTGTTGTGGGCATGTTGAGCAGGACCTTCAGCAAGACAAATGTCAGATTGGATACAAACAACTGCAGAGGCTGAGGGAAGACATTGTGTTACAGGGAGCTGGGGTGATTTTCTCATCTGCCTCGTGTTGGAGTGACACGCTGCAAAGATAGGAGGTGGAAAGAGCAATTCACTCCAGGAGAAATGAGATTTGGGCAGGGTGGGTGGCCTAATGGGAGCACAGCAAAGTGCTGCACACCTTGCTTCTTTCTGGTTGTATTTAATTTCTGGAATGCACCGGGAGCTTGCTGAACTTTTAAAATCAGTGGATTTTTCTTCAGCTGACAGTTATGCCTTGATCTTAAGTTTGGAGTTTGCTGTTTCTATATGTCCTGTCAGTAATTTTTCAGCCCTAATAAAATATTACAGCCTGCCCTGAGACCTGTCATAGCCACTCAGAGGCAGCAGGAGGTTTGACACAGCCTCAGCAGGGCTGAGCTGCTCGGTTCTGTCACACAAACCTCGCACAGGCTTTCAGCCACCTCCAGCCCTGTGCCTGTGTGGGAGGCTGAGGTGACACTCACAGGTCCAAGGTGAGGAGGGGGTCACCAGAAAACACTGGAAACGTGTTTTGTTTTATCTGCTGGAGCAGGATGGGGCTGGACCTGCAGCTGGCAGGGCTGGTGGTGCTGTTATGCCTCATCCAAACTAAAGCAGAATAATGCAAATCTTTTGTTGTGCTGCTTCATTCACTTTTGGTTTGGTCTATTTTAGCTGTGCCTTGCCAAATTTTCTCCACAGGGAAACCCTCTGGTCCTTTTGTCTGTAGACTTTAATGAGCTGCAATGAGCTGCCTGTAACACAAATTAACAAAAGCTCTGTGCCCAGCATCATCTTTTACCCCAGCTGGTTTTTTGAGGCTGGGCAGGGAGGGCACAAAGCCTGTGCCCACCCGGGCTCCAGGGCAGGAGGGGTTTGCAGATGGAAAATTCTGGTGATGCTGGAGTGCTTGGCAGTGCAGAAACTCCCATTGTTCAGGGCTGGCTTGAGATCCTGAGCCCTGCAGGAGCAGAGCTGCTTGGGGGTGTCAGCAATGGGAGAAATTAAGGAACTTTGGAAAGCTGGAGGTGAAGGAAATTTGGAAAAGACAATGTATTTTAAAGCATTTTCCACTATTTTTTTACTGGAAATGCTATTTGTGGAATATATCACATCAATTAAAATGTTTTATTATAAATATTACATGATAGACATATGCAGTTTTTTAGTTTGTGTAAGGTTAAGTGGGATACCAAAATTGTGATGTTGTGGGGTATTTTTTAGTGGCTCATAGGAACAGCAATAAGTGACCACACTGTTGGGATATTTTTTCCTGGCCTTTACATGTTGAGCTATGAGAATGTGGAGATCTCATTGCACTTTTATGAGGGAACTCAAGCATGAATTTAATGAGGAGTGTTATGCTCCAATGGAAAGTCCTTTTCATTACCTAATTTCTATTAAGCTATGTCATTATAAATATGCTAAGCTTAAATAAATAGAGTTTTCTTCTTTCCTCTGATATCCCTGTCATTGAACAGAACAGCTAGCAGTGTTCTGAGGTTTGGGGTTTATCCCTGTTTCAATTCCTCTATCATTTTTCCCTGTAAAATTTTGAAGTTTATATTTGGACTATCTTGGCAATGTACTTAGAAAGAGGGAAGGCCAAAATAAAAATAGAAAGTTGTGTAGGAAAGAAAACTTCATCCTTCTTACAAAACTTTAAAACTGCATTTAGTGGTGAAGGGAGAGAGGAACAACATGGAAGTAATTGACTGAATGCTGAAGAATTCCACATAGTTTGATTTTGAAAATGGAACTGATTTTTTATTTTCCTAAGTTCCAAATTATATCCAAAGCTGAAAAATATGCTTTGGCAGTTCTAATCAGATTTCTTTGTCACTCAGTTCTACTTCTGACCTTTCCTCTTTGTTGTTATTTCACCATTTGTAGCTATCCCTGAAGATACAAAGTCCTTCCACTGCCTGCTGTAATGTCTTCCAGCCTGAAATGCAGCACAATAAAATGCATTTCTATTGCAGAAATTCTTTCTTCCCCAGAGGTCCGTGCAGGAGCACTGGCACAGGCACCCTGGCTGCTTGTAGAAATCCTGGAAAGTGGGGGTTTTAGCCAGAAAATCCTCACAGAAGTGAAGGGGCACTTTACCACACGGCTTGACCTATTTTAGAGAAGTGAATTTCTCAAGTTCCTATGGTGAGGAGCCCCAAGTTCAGCCTGAGCACAGAAACAGCCCGAAGGAGTTGTTCTGAGAGATGCACATGTCCCAGACCGCTCCTGGGGCTGCTCCTCAGTGCCATTATTAGAACCCTTTTCAGTCTCAATTTTGTTAATTAACAAGATGAGCTCCTTTCTTTGGTTTTCCAGCCTTCACCTACTTTCAGGATTAGCACAGAAAAAAGACTTTTCAGTGTTAACGTGTTTTTAATTTTCCTCTGGAAAATGAGTGTGATGATGCTGCAAATGGAGCTGAGGCTGGAGCTGTGGTAATGGCTGTGCGGGCTGGGGAAGGATAATTACTGCATTGCTGCTGTGAAATCAGGAAGGAGGATATTCACTTCTCCCTGGCAAGAGGAGAATTTATCATGCAGTCTTTGTGCCAAAGGAACAAAAAATTACAGTGAAAAATTGCGATAGCTAAATGGGGATAAGAGAGTCTTGGAGCCTCTGGTCTTTTATTCTTTCAAAGTTGTAGAATTTTGCTTTGTGGTGGTCAGAGGGGAAGGGGAGGTTCATACCTGAAAGCACAGTGAAGACAGCAGCAAAGGCATTTAACTTGAGCCCATCTATGACACTGCTTGAATGAAAGAGCTCGAGGCACATGAGGCTGAACCCGACGACCAACAGCATGATGTACAACACCTCGGACACCACTGAGAGCCACAGCACACCTGGGGGCAAAGAGCAGCAACCACTCGTTACTTGGGGAATGCTTTCCAGAGGTTAAAGTTGGCAGAAACTCATTAGGAAACTGGGAATATCTAGGAGTAACTGTGTATTAGGAATTTTTGTAAAAAAAGTTGGTTTTTAAGGTCGCTAATTTTAATTTGGGTTTTTTGTTTTTGGTTTTTTTTTTAAATGTTTATCACATCCACTCTATATTGGGAAAAATTTCTTTACTGAAAAAGTTATTAAGCCCAGGGAAGTGGCGGAGTCATCATCCCTGGAAGTGCTCAGAAAACAAGTAAAGGTGGCATTGCCTGATGTGGTTTGGGAACATGGGGGCCTTTGGTAAAAGGCTGGCCTTGATGAACTTGGTGGTTTTTTCCAGCCTTAATGATTCTGTGATTCACAGAGTTTAAACTCATCAAACCACAGCCCAAACTCTGAAAACCAGAAAAAGCGACAAATGAAGATGTGAAGAGTGGCAGGGTGGTAAAGACACTGCAAAAAGAACAAGCTGCTGCTTGTTCTTGCTCAGCTTGGCTCCAGAACCTCTGTGCGTACGTGTGAGAACCTCTTGGCTCCTCTGAGCCAAGGCACAGCTCACAGAATTAATTTTCCCACCTGTGCCACAGTTTAGAGAGCAGAATCCACCACACAGGGAGGTGATGGCACAGGACACCTGGCTGGCTGTGTGCTGGTGGGAGTTGGACAGGCTTGGATACCTCTTTTCCACAAAGAAAATATATTCAGTCCATGTTTTAAAATTCTTGCCACAGCCTAGTGCTGGGGGCAGTTATTAGAAACTGGAGGATGGCTGTTCTCTCTGGGGGTGTTTGGATCCACCTCACAGGCTCTGTGCACAGAAACTGCCACAATTGCAGCAGGGTGGGCACAGATGTTTGTAACATGCTCAGCTGAGGAGCTGCAGATGCAAACCTGGGTCTGGCTCGAGTTTCCTGAGCCCCTGAGAGCCAGGGCTGTGTTTGGGCTCTGCAGGACCCGGGGGCAGTGCTCAGGGCAGGGCTCTGGGAGCACGGGGCAGTGCCCAGCAGGGACTGATGCACCAGCAGGAGATGTCACCTTTGGGATTCCAGCACAAAACCTCCAGCAGGATCTGCTGAGTCTTTGAAAGTCACCAGGCCATGGGGTAAATTGGAGAGGATGGGAACAGATGATAAGATTGAGTCCCTGCCCAATTTCCAATTGCTGTTTCAGCATGAGAATCTGCTCGAATTCTCCAGTACATTTGCTAACCTGATTGCTAGAGAATTCACCTGGAAACAATGAGCAGTGATGGAAAATTTCAGCCTAAGCAGTTGAAACATGGAAAGTTAAGCATCTGAAGACAATGGCTTATATTAGAAAATGTTAGCTGTAACCATAGAGACTGCTACAGGCTTCACTTATATTAATGCCTTCTCTCCTCACTGCAAGAGCACATGTGTGATAAAGCCTACAGTCCAGTTATCAAACCAGATATGCAGTCTCACTTCTATCAAATATTTGAGTGTCCTCTTGGTGACCAGGCTGATCCCAGCTCATATTTTGTCTGGGAATTCATCTTTATAATTACATCTAATTAATATGTGCTATTCGTTGTTGCCACTGTAGCTGACCTTTTGAGTTCTTAAACCACACTACAGAGATAGCAATAAATAAAGCTTTTAATTGCTCACAGTGGCTGTGTGTGCAATATTGCATCCATCAACAGCAAACAGCTGCTTATCTCACTCCTCTTAGTCAATTTGGTATCAGGCAACTGGCACACTCTTCCAAAAAGGAATGCAAGTGAGAGAGAGCAAGGGTGTTGTTCTGAGATACAGCAGGGTTTAGAAGGGATTTTGCCTCATTTTCTCAAACCAGCAGTGTTTGAGAGAATGATGGAATGATTTGAGGTTGGAAGAATTAGATGATGTAAATCTGCAGAGAGCCCTAACTGATGAGCTGCAATTCATTTGGTCTGCACTTGAAATATTAATGTACAACACACCTTCCCAGGTATTTATTGGCCTGAGTGGACCCCCACAGGTGCTCTGTGCACACCAGAGCAGTGCTGAGACAGTGTCTGCAGCTCACCACTGTGGTGTGGCTCCATCTCTGCTTCCCTGGGGGAACAGCTGGGCTCAGGGAGCAGCAGCCCATGGGGTAACACCAGGCTGGTGGGGCTCAGGTTTAGGGACAATTCTCTTGGATGTTTTTATCAATGATCTGGACACACTTAAGGAAGTGAGACTTAAGGAAGTTTTCTTGTGATGAGCCCATATCAGGAGGAGACCTGGAGTCCCTTGAGAGGGGAGAGTCCTTAGAAGGAGATCTTGGTAGATTTGGGTGTGTCACCAGCCACATGAAATCTAACAAGGACAGATGCTGGCTTCTGCTCCTGGGCCAGGATAATCCTGGATGTACCCACAGAGAGGGGAGCAAGAAGCTGGAGTGCAGCCCTGCAGGAGGGGTCTGGGGGTTTGGTTGATGGTTTTGGGGGTTTGGTTGATGGTTTTGGGGGTTTGGTTGATGGTTTTGGGGGTTTGGTGGTGGACTCAGGGCTATCTAGACATGCTCTGCCTGTTCCCCACTATGAGGCAGTGCCTGAAGCTGGTGCTGCAGGTTCCAGTGCAGTGTCTGTGGGAAGAGCAGGGAGCTGGGGAGGTGCACATGTCCCTGTGGGAGCACTGGGGTTCCTGTGTCCATTGCAAGGGGACACGTTCAGAGGGACAGGGGGGCTCTGGGAGCTGAGCCTGGAGGGCCTGGGAGCCCTGCTGGTGTCCTTGGTTCTCCTAAGGAAGGAGAAAGGAACAGGAGGGAGGAACACCTGAGTGTGTGGCTGGTGCCACAGGGAATGCTTTGGCTTCCCTTCCCACAGGCTGGGACAAGAGTGGCTTTGCCAGCAGGATACCCTTGCAAGGAAATGATGAAAAGCTCAATGAGACGTGAGTTTTGCTCTCCTGAAAATCGTTTTTTTCTGATGAGACACAAAGGCTGGGTGAGTTTGCTGTGGGAGGCATAATCAATTACTACTTTTTTGGGGCTCTGTTCATATCTACCGAGGAACTCTCTTGTCTTATTGGTGTAACTGAGTACCTGCTCTGTGCCTTTTTTTAGTGCATCCAATGTGGCGAAAGGCAAGTCCCACGTGCAGTATTTGCATAGTTCTATATCCTGTCCTGCTTTGATTTTGAATTTCATCTGAAATAATAACACCCAGAAAATGCAACCTCTGTCTGAATTTTGCATTTTCCTGTGGCTGCCTGAAGCAGAACAGTTGCTTCAGGTTATTAATTCAGGAGACAGAGTCTTTCTGTTCTGTGCTGATGGTGAAGCGATCTCCCAGTGCTCCTCCCTCAACATGAGATTCATGAGGCACTCACTTGGCATCACTTCCACTCACAACCTCTTACAGCCTCCTTCCTGCAAAGTTGAGAGCTCCTTCTCTTGAGGGGACCTCAGTCTTTCCAGGTGACAGGGAAGAAGATCTCCAGGGGATTTTTCTCTTTTCCAATCTTCTCTGCTGTCATCTTTTCTGTCTGCTTGCTCCTCTCCAGCCTGTGTCCTCTGCCCCAGGGATTTGTCTGGCCTAACTCAGCTTTTATGAAAAATCTTTCCTTCTGAAGAGTCAGTTCTTGGCTCACTTAGAGAGTTCTACCTGGATGGCCTGTAAATGAGGATCTGTCCTCTCATCCATCAACAGACTCCTCTCATCTTTTGGTCTTCATCCTGTTTATGCATGCTTGTTTGTTCAACAAACCCCCTGCTGCCTGTGCAGGGAAGGGGCTGGGGAGGAGCCCAGCTGGGATGTGCCCAGGACATTCCAATGTCAGCTCTCCCAGGAAAGGAGAGTCTTGGACTTGAAAGCAAAACTGAGCCCCAAGTGGTGTCAGTGGTGCTCCTGCACGTTCTCACGAGGGTGTTTGTGTGCCAGGAGCCCACCCAGTGTGCAGGCACTGAGAGACACGATGTGTTCAGCCAATCTCTCCAGGATTCCCTGGAATAATGCAGAGGATGACAGCTGTCAAGTCCTCCTCACGCCTGCTGGGCTTTTTTTAGGTGAGAAAAACCTGCTGGGTTTGCATGTTCCCTTCTGTGCTGGCCAGGAGCTGACAGGGACCTGTCTGGCTGTCCTGACACGTGTCTGTGGCACATCAGCTTGTTGTCCTGGTCATCCTGGTGTCTGAGAAGCTGCAGGGAGATGGGCACTGTGATCTGGATGACCACTGACATCAGTACCGTCAGCACCTCCTGTTCTAACACACCTTTTCCTGCCATTTCTGTCCCTGGTGCTTCTCCACCAGCCAGTCTGTCACTCCTCAGCAGTGCTGCTGACAATGACAGAGCTACTTCTGTGCCCTCTGGGGCACCCTGGATCTTTGCTCCCACCCCACAGACACACTGTACGTCACAGACTGCACCACTGATTGTGAGGCTGTTCCTTCAGGACAAGCTCCCTGTGAAGCAAAATCCCTGAAAGTCCAGGACCTGGGCTCAGCTTCTCACCCAGAATCTGAGATTAAAAAGATCTCAGAATCTGAGATTAAAAAGATTTCATACAAATCAACTTATATCACAGGACTCCTGCATCAGAAGGAATCATATCACATTCCTCTCATCTGACCTCGTGACAGGAAGAAGATCAGTGCAGTAGCTGGGACATTAAAGAACTTTGTGTTTCTGAGCTTTGTTATTTCCTAATCAATGTGTGAGAGATCCTGGTGGGAAGCACCAGTGCCACCTCCTCAAGGGCTTAGCCCCTGCAGCAGCACTGTTACAAGGAAGTTCATTTTCCATCACTCTCCAGTGAAGTGGACATCCTCTTCATTGTGACAGAGAGGAGAACTGTCACCCACAAGATCACGGGGGTTTGAGGCACTCGAGTACTCCATGAAGCATCTGGCAGGATCAGTCCCTTGCCTTGCTGTCTGACAGCAGAGCAGCAGCATTTTGGAAGAAGATCCATAGATCTGAGTGGGTCTCTGCAAAGATCAACTTGAGTGCATCCACCTGAACCGAGATG